GAATCTGACACAAATAAGAATAGCAACATTTAACAATGCCAATTACAACAATACCAATTAACATAAGAATTTTGCCACTGCATGATTATACATAGCAAGGAATATATTAATACTACGAGTTAATAACTTGAAGGGAAAGGGAATTTCATGGACAAAAGATGTGGATGTCAGAACTATATGTAAATATTATTCAAAACATGTGTCTTGTAGCCTTTGTTAGGCTGCTTTTTCTGGTGCAAGCCCAAACACAATTTTGATTCCAGTTGTTAAGCCTTTCTCTAAGGTCTCTATAAGTTTATGAAATTATTCAGTTCACCATACAAGTTGGCATTTCATTGCTGGTAATGAAAAGCGACTATCGTGAACTACAGGTATTGTTACCTTAACAGGTTCATTCCCAAGATCTCATTAGTAATTCTCTTTACTCTCTGCCATACAATTGTTATGATGTTAGTTTGGAGAATTTGGATTGGATCAAATGATAATCCCCTTGTTGATGTTTTTCTTTGTTCTCATCAAGAAGGAATAATTCTGTCTTGGTTACTCATGAGTAAGGGTTAACAGTTCAGAGGAAAGTGAAATCACTCTATAAATATACCTTGGTTCATCAATAACATGCTGAATTGCCTCTGAAAGTTCTTCTGCATTCATGGTTTTGTGATCTAAAACTTTTGCTAGTCCAAAGTGTTCTGCCTTCCTGGCATTAGAAAATTGGTCTGTACACAAGGGCACAGCCACTACAGGCACCCCATGATATGCTGACTCATAAAGGCTGTTGTGTCCCACATGAGATACAAAAGCTTTGATATCCTTGTGAGCCAACAGATCACTCTGAGGTATCCAGCTCATTACTCTTATGTTTTGCTTGAGAGATGAGGGTATGTAGCCTGAAATAATAATTATCACAACAATTATATCTTTTAGTAATATAAGATATCAAACAAATGACTTCCATACCCTATTCACAAAAATTCTGTTAACACACAGTAGTGACAATTAACTGAAATTTATAACCACGACTCCACATCATTGCAAAAGAAGCCAAAAAAGAGGATTCATTTTCAAGCTCTCCCTATCCATTCTATAAAGGCGTGATCAACTTGATCAATGACACAAAATCTTTGACATACTTTGCCATGCCAGAGGTAGTTGCACCCTTTTGGGTGTAGAATGTACAGACTTGCCGGTTGTTGAATGGTTGCATGGTGCTATCCACTAGATAAATTTCTATCTGGTGGACAACCCTATACATTTTGCTATCACTTGTCCATTGGATACCGTTATCTGCCCCTTTTCCAACTGGGCCCAGATCTATCCCTTTGGAAAGTTACTTTCGGTTACATACCTTTCAGTTTCCATATGACTTTCTGCTTCACCTTTCCAAAAGCTTCAGCCAAGACATCGATCTTCTCCTTAGCTATGATTGTTTGCGCATATGACCCAAAAGAGGCAATGACAAACCCATGCCCCCCTGCACTGTCAATAAAATCTTTTAATTCAGGGGGGAGTGTTTCAGGATCTGCTTTTGCAGAAATGGCTCCCACCATAATTTGACCTGTAAGAAGACAAACAGATATACAGTTAGTGCTGACTGGTTCATTCTTAGAAATATGTGGGGGAGGGGGTGAGGTTGAATATCCCTCAATACCTATACATTACCCTACTCCCCCACCTTCTGCACTTTTGACACCAGTCTCTCCCCTTTGGCCAGAACACTACAGACAAATGATAATTAGCCTACCATTAGATCTAGACAATACTCCCTGTTTGATAATTTTCAAAATCTACATTAACCATCTGTTGGATTTCAGTACCAAAGGCCCAGGATCCAGATCTGGTCATGCACAGGAATTTTGGATAGAAAAAATTCATGTATCACCGAATATTAACTCAATGTCTCAAATCTCAGCTTAACTTGCCTTTCTGTAAAATTCACATATCATGAATGAAATCACATGACACGTTTAAAACCATTGCCAACTCTAAGCTCTCTTAATTATGAGAGTGATATTAATACTAGCATTTAAGCAGCCACACACTTACCCCTCCCCTGACCCAACATTTAACCCAACTTGTTATCAGTTGATTGCTGTTTGGTCAGGCAAGGGGTAAGTGCTCAGTTGCTCAGAGCCTTTTCCACTTATTTGGCAAACCTGGCAAAAGAGGCTGTGGATACTCCAGTGCAAAATCAGCAAGAAACAGCACCAGCTCAGCAGTGCCAGCAGCTTCTTGGTAGCTCTTCCCAGGAGTGATGTTGTATTCCTCTTTCAGAGAACCCATATATCTGGCAATTAAAACTTGTTCTGCAGACTGTATGAAGTTGTATGCTCCAAAGTTCACAAGACGCTGTAAAAACGTCATTTCACTTGTAAATAAAGTCATTGGTGCTGGAATATATGATACTGGGTGGGGAATATTATGGGCAAAAGTTCCTGGACCATTTGGAGGACCAGAAAATACGATTACTTTTGGAATGCCAAGAAGCTCAGAGACCAAAACAGCACAGAAGGAAAAACTCTCATAAACTATCAAGTCAAAGCTTTTCAGTTCTTGAAGTAGCACTGTGTCATTCAGCATGTATTCACAAATGACTCTTTGCATTTCATATAAGTTATTTATTGTCTTCCACAATTTGCCTTCCATGGCTGTTTTCACTTTATTCTCTGTATCTTTTTCGTCGTATGGTGTCAGGAATGTCCTTTGGGGAATTTTCTGCTCATTACTTGGTGGTGCATCACGAAGCACTGGTCGAACAAGCACCACCTACATCAGAAAAGAAGAAAAAGT